CTAAATTATAGAGAATTCGATAATAATAATAGTATTGAGCTTGAGTGAAAATAAGAGTTTGGCAAGAAGTGTGGGGCTGTGAGACAATAGAGAAGGGATCTAATCACTCCCACCTCGGGGTAGAACGGTCTTACGCGCTTCGGACCGTTCAGATTCTAAGACGATTAGCTAATCGGGAATAACGATGATGCCTGCGCTAGTCCTATTAATATTGTTACATCATTTCGCGTTTACGACACACCGCGACAGGATGGACGTGTTACATTTCACGGGACTGCCGTCGAGATTCCGGTACCCACGCCGTTTCCGGATCTGAAAACTGTGTCACGGACGTCTCTTCCTGTTTTCTCTGCATTTTCAAACAGTCCTTGGCGAAAGGAATTCCTTCGTGAAAGGACTCTTTAATATAATAGAACGTGTTTCATGTTCTATCACACAAATCATTCATATATTAATTCTTATCCTAATTTTTTATCGAATTTAATTGCATTTTTTAATTCATATGAGATAAACTTGTTTATCAACTGAATGTATAAAGCTTCTTAAAGTTTTGAAGAATTTCTTCCTTTCTTTTTATATTTATAAATGTATCACTGCAATAAGGAATTTTTTTTTATCTACCTCAATCTGTTCGTTCCAAACAATTGTATCACATCAATTCTTATCTTAATCTTTAAACTGCAGACTTTTATACAAAATAAAACACTCGTAGGAGAACAATTTTATTATTCAAACAAATAAAACTCAATTTAGGAAGAATATTCTTCAATCTTTTGAACATTATGAATTTTTCTGTTAATACTTTATGCAATTTTTATGTATATTTTTCATATACTAAATTTTGATATAAATGCATAAAATCCATAATCTTTTAATCGTTCAACGAATTCATCTTATAGAAAATACAATCATTCTTAAATCAAATAAGCAAATAATCAATTTTTAAAAATGTGTTCTATTATTTAAAAATTGGAACATGCCTTCTATTATTTCTATTATTGTTATTCTAAATAAATTTTTATGCATTAGTATTTATAATTTTCTTATAAATGCATAAAATCCGCAGTCTCCTGATTTCATATGAGATAAACTTGTTCACCAATAGAAGTTATAAAGGATTTATTCATTTCCCTTCATATTTACAAATGTATCACCTCTTCAATGAGGAATTCGTTTCAGCAATTTCAGTGTAATCTGTTCTGCATTCTCGTAACACATTGCCAACAAGTTTATCGTTGGCCTTACGGTGGTCAAAGGAATTCAGCTACCATATTCTTTCCTCTACGCATCATCAATCTCCAACGCCTCCATCAGGCTGCTTTACAGTGAATCACGATGGGATTCCATATTGGATATAAATGATTGAAGGAATTTATACGTGAAAATGATATTGATGCAACCGGCAGACAATTTTCAGTATGAACTCATTCTGTCTTCTCATCAAGCATTCGCAACATTGTAGATGGCACGCGTTAACGTAATTTCATCTGCGTTGCGGCGGTTAAGGAGTGGTTATTGTTCTCCCTCTGTCGCAACCGGGTTAGGATACTTAACCGAGGCGCATAAATTCCCTTAATAACACAGCAGTTAATTCGCGGTCTACGTTAAACGATTCGTAATTCTACACCTGCTACGATTTAAATCAACCGATTTTTGCCAAACGGATTTTATTACAGCTTCCATTTTTACGAGCCTGATCGTCCGGCCGATGCAATTCACGAGCCTGTGAAGAAGTTAGAATTTTGAAACTGCAACGTGGGAAGGAGGCGTGCGCGAACAGATGATGTTATCCAAGTAAAAGTATAGAACAAAATCGAAACTCTGGTTTTGCGTAACCAGGCTGGGCTCGACAAAGTTCAATGTTACTTAAAGAATCGCCGTTAACCCAGATCTATTCATCTATTGCGATCTAATGGATGAATGGATCAACATTGTTCAGATTTGTCAATAGCCAGCCCGAGCTTCCCGAAGATAAATCGTTTGAGAGAATGTTACTTCGGGTGAAAGAGATGGCGATTAGGTGCTTCAGGCAGCTGTGATCTGTGATAATGGCTGCTTCAGAGCGGTGAGATTCATGCAAAAGAAGAGAGGTGTTGAATAAATTAATTTTCTCAAAATCCGGATTTTCATGCGAATTTTTATTTTACCTTAACACTAGATTGCCCAAGGAAGTCATTTTTACTGCTTTTGGGCAAATGTACAAATAATAATGCATAAATTATTTTTTTTCCCAAGTGAAGTAAATTTTTTTTTATTGTTAACATTTACTAATAACTTGTTATATGACTGTAAATAATATAAAAAATATTAAAAATTAATTTTAGACAAATCTCTTTACACATTATTCTTTCACAATGCAGTCATTTTTACTGCTTTTGGGCAATATAGGTATATACTAAGTTTCAGTCTTTCTAGTGTTAAACTGAATTTTGATCAAATTGATGAAATAAATTAATGAATCTTCTACCTGGTCAGCGTAATCGTGGTCGTTCCCACTGTCGTATTGATGATGATTGTCAAAACCGTTTCCACCACCTTGTTGTTGAACATTGTTGTTGTTGTTGTTGTTGTTGCCAGCATAATTACCTGGGACACCATACTGGGAGTTTAACGGTGGGGGTTCGCATCTCGCTATTCCTATGCTCACCATCAGGGCGAGGGATAACTGGAAATTAACGTCTTGGTAATTATCACCGGTACCCAAGGATATGCGCCACACCTTCACAGCTCCGGGAATATTTGCTGATTATTCAGATTAGAACGTGGGAATATTTAGCAGTTGCAAAATTGTCAGCCTGCAGATTTGTATGCAAAATATAACTGGTGAGGAAATCGGAAATCGAGATTTCAATAATAATAATGTGGATTTTGGGTATTTGTTTTAGAAATCAGATATCTAGTATAGTTATCAATTATT